TAGTACTGCAGTAGAGACAGTACTGTAGTATTGTGGTACTGTAGTACTGCAGTAGGAGACAGTACTGTAGTATTGTGGTACTGTAGTACTGCAGTAGAGACAGTGCTCTTGTTTCATGCACATGAGGTCAGATGTGTAAACTCGTTTCGAAGTCACTGGATGGTTATAGCGAAGAATACCTCCTCTTCCTCCCCCTCCCCCTCGTGCACGCTCCTCCCCTCGTGCACACCGGCCTGCACGTGCACGCTCCCATCCCCCTCCTCCCCCTCGTCTCCTGAGGTGTGAACAGTCAGGTGTCGGAGCAGAAGTTTCATGTGGTTAAACCCGAGTCCACATAAAGGACACAGGTGCTCTTTATCCCCCTCCGCCTCCACGTGCGCGCTCTCCTCCACGTGCGCGCTCTCCTCCACGTGCGCGCTCTCCTCCACGTGCGCGCTCTCCCGCTCGTCCTCGTCCCCTCCTGTGGTGTGCACAGTCACATGACTCAGGAGGAGACTTTCATGGTTGAACTCAAGACCACAGAAGGGACAAGTGTGGACGCTCTCCCCGTCTTCTCCTCCCGCCTCCTCCTCCTCCGCCCCCTCTGCTGCCTCCCCCCCCCCCCCGCCGCCTCCCCCCCCCCCACCGCCCCCTGCCCTCCCTCCCCTCCCTCCTCCCCTCCCTCCCCCTCGGCGCCTGTCGTGTGCACGGCCAGGTGACTGAGCAGGAGACTCTGGTGGTGAAAGCCCAGGCCGCAGAAGGGGCAGAGGTGGCGTTTGTCCAGGAGGTGGCGCCGCATGTGGTCCTTGAGGTTTCCCTTCAGAGAGAAGCGCCTGTCGCAAAGCGTGCACGTGAACGGGCGCTCCCCGGTGTGCACGCGCATGTGCACGGACAGAGTCGACCTCCAGCTGAACGTTTTACTGCAAACTGGACACTGGAGGGGCTTGGACTCTGGTCTGGACTCTGGTCTGGACTCTGGTCTGGACTCTGGTCTGGACTCTCTGGACTCTGGTCTGGACTCTGGTCTGGACTCTGGTCTGAATATAACAAAGGAAAAGAATAGATATTCTGTTGAAGCCATGTTCTAATGTTCTGATGTTCTGATGTTCTGATGTTCTAATGTTCTGATGTTCTGATGTTCTGATGTTCTGATGTTCTAATGTTCTGATGTTCTGATGTTCTGATGTTCTAATGTTCTGATGTTCTGATGTTCTGATGTTCTAATGTTCTGATGTTCTGATGTTCTGATGTTCTAATGTTCTGATGTTCTGATGTTCTAATGTTCTAATGTTCTGATGTTCTGATGTTCTGATGTTCTGATGTTCTGATGTTCTAATGTTCTAATGTTCTGATGTTCTGATGTTCTGATGTTCTGATGTTCTAATGTTCTGATGTTCTGATGTTCTGATGTTCTGATGTTCTAATGTTCTGATGTTCTGATGTTCTGATGTTCTGATGTTCTAATGTTCTGATGTTCTGATGTTCTGATGTTCTGATGTCTGATGTCTGATGTTCTGATGTTCTGATGTTCTGATGGTCTGATGTTCTGATGTTCTGATGGTCTGATGTTCTGATGTTCTGATGTTCTGATGGTCTGATGTCTGATGTTCTGATGTTCTGATGTTCTGATGGTCTGTTGTTCTGATGGTCTGATGGTCTGATGTTCTAATGGTCTGTTGTTCCTCCTCACACTCAGAGTTGGAGTTTGCTGTTTGTTTGTTAGTTTCTTTATTCTGAGTCTGTTACATCTGCAAACCTCTAAACACTCTGTTCCACCTTGTGATGTCATCAAGTTCTCAGCTCCTTTTTCCTTTAGTTGAGTCGAAATCAAAACTCCAGGACTGAAATGTTCCAGGTGATTCTAGTGAAGGTGAAGTGTGGAATTTAAAAACACAGTGGAGCACTTCCTGTATCAGCACATGATGACATCACAGGGTGAACAGAGTGTTTTGTCATGTTAAATGTGCAGGTTTGTGTGAAACATGTGAATGAAACAAAACACGAATCCAGGAAACAACAACAGAGCAGAGCAGAACAGAGGATTCTGGGACATGGAGTCTCTGTGTAAACTACAGTAGAACAGATCAGAGAAGACGAATGGGCCCTTTAAGGACCATGAAGTCTCACCTGGACTCGGGCTGGGACCAGGGGGGGGTCTGAGGACGAGTCCAGATCATAGACGGTCCAGACCGGTTCAGTTCCATGATAAACCGGTTGAGATCCTGTTCGGAGCTGTCGGGACTGTCCGGACGGTCTGTGACGGGGTCCGTCTCCGGTTTAGGCCAGGTCCGAGTCCGGCTCAGGTGGTTCCTCTGGTGGGTCTTGATGTGCGCCTTGAGGTTCCCCTTGAGGCTGAAGCCCCGCCCACACAGCGTGCAGGTGAAGGGCCGCTCGCCCGTGTGAGAGCGCATGTGAATGTCCAGAGCAGAGCGGAATTTAAACCCCCGTCTGCAGATCTCACACAGAAAGACCCCCCCAAACACCGGACCTCCCCTGGAATGGCCTCTGGGTCTGCCTCTGGACCGGACCGGACTCAAGACTGGACCCAGAGAGTCCCCGGACCAGGACCAGGCAGGATCCTCGTCACTGACTGGCTGATCTAATGGTGCAGGCTGAGGTTCGTCTGCAGAAAGACGAGACATTACAGAAACAGAGCATTATTATTATTATTTTTTTTTTACACATTTATGTAGATCACATTATCATTATATCTTTATTAAAGCTGCATCCACAACGATCAACACACTGTATAAAGAAATAATCTGTGTTTCCCTTTAATGCAGGAGACTGGAGCCCAGAGTCTAAAATCAACCTGGACGTGCACTGGCATCACAAAATCACACTTTATTCCACACTGTCTAATCAGGAGCATTTACAGGTAAATATACTGGGCTTAAAGGACGGATTTAAAGTTAAATACAGCCAATAAACGTCATTTATACACCATAAATTGTGTAAAATGAAACAGGGAACACTGAGAACGTGTTTATTTGTCTATTTGTAAATTCTCAATATTCTATGAGATTAAAAGAGTAACAGAGGAAATAATCTCCTATAAAAGTCTCTTTCTGAGTTTATTTCCAAACCTGAAGCGACGGCCGCATTTCCGTCAGACTTCGGCAGTTTCCGCCGCGGCTCGGCTTCGCTCGGCTGCATGTCTCGCCCTTGTATCGGCCTTCGGGACATTTTTACCCCAAAAAAAACAGCTACGACCGCGCCTCTGTCACGGCTCCATCCCCCGAGCAGTGCCCCGGGCCCGGTACCGGCCCGTTAGAAGCCCGGAGCCCCGAGAAAAGCCAGAAACCTCCGAGCCGTTAGCATGGGGCTAGCACCGGGGGCTAGCGCATCTTTCCGCCGCTCCGCTGAAATAAACCCGCCCGGAACAGTCAGAAAACACACACACATACGAACATTTAATGCAAGAAGCGCCCCGCTGCTTTTATAATGTGAATCATGAACAGGAGAAGGAAAACGAGCAGACAAAACGTGAGCTTTAATCAACAAAACGCCGTGTAAATGGAGTAAAGTTGGTCGCAGACACAGCGCCTGTTCCGGCCGCGCGGCGTCACTCGAGACTCACTCATGGTTCCGTTTGGGTCACAGAGAAATTCCTCCACACCGAACCCAGCGGACAAACCCCACATTTACCCTCACATTCACCCTCACATTCACCCTCACATTCACCCTCACATTCACTGAGGTTTAATGTGGTTTAATGTGGTTTATTGTGGTTCTGTTAAATCCGTTTCGGACATTTTAGTTTCACAGGAAGAGGCCGGAAATGGAGCTGAGCGCGGGAAACCTGACCAACATGGCGCCCGCAGAACACAAATGAAACAACAACAAACAAACAAACAAACTGTATTTGTGCATTTATTAAAACTTTAAACTCTGCCACAGACCCGACGTGCGACTAAAACACACCCAGGATGGAGACGAAGGTCCTCTCTGCGTTTAAGTCAGGTCTGTGCTGGTTTAGTTTTGTGTTAGTCCTGGTTTAGTTTTGTGTTAGTCCTGGTTTAGTTCTGTGTTAGTCCTGGTTTAGTTCTGTGTTAGTCCTGGTTTAGTCCTGGATTAGTCCTGTGTTAGTCCTGGTTTAGACCTGGTTTAGTCCTGTTTAGTCCTGGTTTAATCCTGGTTTAGTTCTGTGTTAGTCCTGGTTTAGACCTGGTTTAATCCTGGTTTAGTCCTGTGTTAGTCCTGCTTTAGACCTGGTTTAGTTCTGTGTTAGTCCTGGTTTAGCTCTGTGTTAGTCCTGGTTTAGACCTGGTTTAGTCCTGGATTAGTCCTGTGTTAGTCCTGGTTTAGTCCTGTTTAGTCCTGGTTTAGACCTTGTTTAGTCCTGGCTTAGACCTTGTTTAGTCCTGGTTTAGACCTGGTTTAGTCCTGGTTTAGACCTGTGTTAGTCCTGGTTTAGACCTGTGTTAGTCCTGGTTTAGACCTGTGTTAGTCCTGGTTTAGACCTGGTTTAGGTCTGTGTTAGTCCTGGTTTAGTCCTGGTTTAATCCTAGTTTAGACCTGGTTTAGTCCTGGTTTAGTTCTGTGTTAGTCCTGGTTTAGGTCTGTGTTAGTCCTGGTTTAGACCTGGTTTAGTCCTGGTTTAGTTCTGTGTTAGTCCTGGTTTAGACCTGGTTTAATCCTGTTAGTTCTGTGTTAGTCCTGGTTTAGTTCTGTGTTAGTCCTGGTTTAGACCTGGTTTAGTTCTGTGTTAGTCCTGGTTTAGACCTGGTTTAGTTCTGTGTTAGTCCTGGTTTAGTTCTGTGTTAGTCCTGGTTTAGACCTGGTTTAATCCTGGTTTAGTCCTTTTTATGATGTTTTTTTGTTTGTTCCAGAACATGCCTCAGATGTGACCCCTGATCACCTGGAAGAGAGAGGGATCGAACAACGAGAGGAAAGAGCAGAGGAGGAAAGAGCAGAGGAGGGAGGAGGAGAGGAGGAAGGAGGAGAGGAGGAGAGGAGGAGGAGGAGGAGGAGGGAGGGAGGAGAGGAGGAGAGGAGGAGGAGAGGAGGAGGAGGAGGAGGGAGGAGGGAAAAGAGGAGTGATGGAGGAGAGAAAGATGACACTGAGAAAAAGAGTGGAGAAAAGTGTGAGAGAGGAAGAGGAGGAAGAGGAGGAGAGAGGAGCGAGTGTGAAGAGACGGAGGAGAGTGAGGAGAGGAAACACCAAATCTGGAGAGGGAGGAAGTGACCTCACTCCTGAAGCTCCGCCTCCAGTGACATCACAGTTGAGGACGCGGGCGGAGTACAGGTGCGGACAGGTGCACTTTTTCTTTTTTATTAACCCCTCAAATATTTCCTAATATTTGACCTTTTTCTATGAACTTTTTTCTGAGTCTTCGTCTTTTTCCGTCTTCTTGGTTTCCTCCGGTTCTGGACGTGCAGGTGCAGCGAGTGTTCCAGAATGTTCCGGAAGAAACGTGACCTGGTGGGTCACATGAACCGCCACACGGGACACAAACCCTTTAAATGTGACGAGTGTGGGCTGTCCTTCTGCAGGACCGAGACGCTCAAGAGACACAGGCCCAAGTGCAGCGGTGAGACCAGAACCAGGGACTGGACCAGGGACTAGACCATGGACTGAACCAGGACCAGGACCAGGGACTGGACCATGGACTGAACCAGGACCATGGACTGGACCTGGACCAGGGACTGGACCAGGGACTGGACCAGGGACTGGACCAGGACCCGGACCAGGACCAGGGACTGGACCAGGACCAGGGACTGGACCAGGACCAGGGACTGGACCAGGACCAGGGACTGAACCAGGGACTGAACCAGGACCTGGACCAGGACCAGGGACTGGACCAGGGACTGGACCAGGGACTGGACCAGGGACTGAACCAAGACCAGAACCAGGGACTGGACCAGGGACTGGACCAGGACCAGGTCTAACCCAGGTCTTGTTGTGCGTCTTGTGTCCAGGCTCCGAGGGGCTGTTCACCTGTGAGGTTTGTGGGCGGAGCTACACACACCGCGGTTACCTGCTCATGCACGTGAACTCCGCCCACTCGGACCGCCGCCTCACATGCACCGTGTGCGCGCGCACGTTTGTCCACAACTCCCACCTGCTCAGCCACAAGTGCTTCCACGTGAGGGAGGGGGGGGGAGGAACCGGCCCGGAGGAACCACGAGGGGACGAGGGACCAGGACACCACGAAGGAGACGAGACTCGAGGGGAGGAGTTAGGAGGCGAGGGACTAGGAGCCATCGGAAGAGCCGACGAGGAAAGGAACAAAGGAAACGAGGAGGCACCTGGAGGAGACGAGGAGGAGACAAGCAAACAGAAGAAGAAGAAAGGTAAAGCTTCTGATTTTAGAGGGGGTCAAAGGTCACTGTGGGGTCACTGGGGTCACTGTGGAATCAGGGGTCACTCCAAACGTGTTTAATGATAGTTGGAAGCAAAGCATCATGGTCTCTGTAGTTCTTCAGTTTTGAGCTTCTGCGCTCACACACACACACACACACATCTGATCTTCTGTTAGTGTATGTGTGTGTGTTGAATAACAGTGTGTGTTTTGTTGTGTAACTGTGTGTGTAACTGTGTGTTTTGTTGTGTAACAGTGTGTGTAACAGTATGTGTTTTGTTGTGTAACAGTGTGTGTGTAACAGTGTGTGTAACAGTGTGTGTTTTGTTGTGTAACAGTGTATGTAACAGTGTGTGTATTGTTGTGTAGCAGTGTGTGTAACAGTGTGTGTTTTGGTGTGTTACAGTATGTGTAACGGTGTGTGTTTTGTTGTGTAACGGTGTGTGTAACGGTGTGTGTAACGGTGTGTGTAACGGCGTGTGTAACAGCATGTGTAACAGTGTAACAGTGTGTGTTTTGTTGTGTAACAGTGTGTGTAACAGTGTGTGTTTTGTTGTGTAACAGTGTAACAGTCTGAGTAACAGCGTGTGTAACAGCGTGTGTTTTGTTGTGTGACAGTGTGTAACTGTGTGTAACAGTGCGTGTTTTGTTGTGTAACGGTTTGTGTAACGGCGTGTGTAACGGTGTGTGTAACGGCGTGTGTAACGGCGTGTGTAACAGCGTGTGTAACAGCGTGTGTAACAGTGTGTGTGTTTGTTGTGTAACAGTGTGTGTAACAGTGTGTGTAACAGTGTGTGTTTTGTTGTGTAACAGTGTAACAGTCTGAGTAACAGCGTGTGTAACAGCGTGTGTTTTGTTGTGTGACAGTGTGTGTAACTGTGTGTAACAGTGTGTGTTTTGTTGTGTAACAGAGTGTGTAACGGAGTGTGTAACAGAGTGTATTGTTGTTTTTGTTGTGTGCAGATTGTCAGTTCATGTGCAGTTTTTGTGGGAAAGTGTTCAGTCAGAACGGGAGTCTTTATCGACACAGACGGATCCACACGGGCGAGCGTCCTCACGTCTGTCCTCTGTGCGGGAAAACGTTCCCGTGGCCCGCCGACCTTAGGCGCCACCTGAGGTACCACTCGTCGGAGCGACCGTACGCGTGCGAGCTGTGCGGCCGCGCCTTCATCGCCAACGAGGCCCTGATCTCCCACCGCCGCACGCACAGCCAAACCAAACCCTTCAGCTGCTCCGTCTGCGCCAAACGATTCACCAGGAGACACCAGCTCCAAGAACATCTGAAGCTCCACACGCACGACCGACAGCACCCGTGTGACGTCTGCGGACACGTCTACCGCAAACAGGGGGCGCTACACAACCACCTGCGCAAACAACACGCACAACACACACAACACACACTCCGGCAGGAGGAGGGGGACGAGAGAGAGGGAGAGGACGAGGAAGAGGAGGAAAGACAGGAGGAAGGGGACGAGGAGGACGAAGAGAAAGAGGAAGAGAGGGAGGAGCAGAGGGAGGAGAGAGAGGGATAGGAGGAGGAAGAGGAGGAGATGAGGAGGAGATGAAGAGGAGGAGAAAAGGAGGAGATGAGGTGGAGGAGGAGATGAAGAGAGGAGGTGGAGGAGGAGGAGAAGAGGAGGAGGTGGAGGCGAAGAGGTGGAGGAGAAGGGGGAGGGGTGGAGGAGGAGGAGGTTAAAGGGTCCATGCCTCTGTTCTGTTCTGCTGTTGTTTTGTTTCTTTCATGTTTGACACAAACCTGCACATTTAACACCAGTTCTTCTCTCACACTGAAAACGCTCTGTTCCACCTCGTGATGTCATCATGTGGTGATACAGGAAGTGGTCCACTGTGTTTTTAAACTCAGAACTGTAATAAAATCTTTGGTGAATCCAAGATGGCGTCGTGTTGTTTTTCAGGGGCCTGAAAACCCAATTTCTTTTTCCTCATCCTCCCGCCGCTCCTCCCACCGCGTGACGTCTCTGACCTGCGCGGCGTGGAGCGTTTGGGCCAATCGGAGCGCGGCGTGGAGCGTTTGGGCCAATCGGAGCGCGGCTCGGAGCTGTGAGGCTCAGTCTGACAAAAATCACTTTAGGAGTAACGAGGATTTAAACATTTTAAAAATGGAAAAGAATCGTAGAAAACCCAGACACCCTGAAGAACTCGAGCAGGTTCAACTCCCACAATCCAGGAGGAGGAGGAGGAGCTGAGGTTAGGATAATGGGGGGGGCTTAAATAAAGTGGATCCTGTGTGTCCTGGAGTGACCTCTGACCCCTGTGGCCATGTGACCATTCTAGTCCAATAAGAGGATTATCTGCTCGCTCTGGGACTGAGGACTTCACAAACATGGACCTGGTCTGGACCTGGACTCTGGTCTTTGGGCTCCTGCTCGGTCTCTGTGAGTCCAGACCCGAGACCGGCTCTACACCTGCGCTCCAGGTAACGGCTCCTCCCGCTCCCGTACTCCACCTCTCCCGGTCCGGTCCGGTCCAAAGTCCTGACCCGGTTCTGTTATTCCAGGTTAGCTCCACAGCGCCCCCTTCAGACCAGAGCCAGTACCACAGACTGCCTGGACTCTGTCGCCGCCTCAAACGCCGAAGGATCACAGTCATGGTACGAACCTAAGTCTGGTCTAAGTCTGGTCTAAGTCTGGTCTAAGTCTGGTCTAAGTCTGGTCTAAGTCTGGTCTAAGTCTGGTCTAAGTCTGGTCTTTTCCGCAGTGTAACATGGAGAAGTTCTGCTGGCCCCATCAGGACCAGACCAGGTCTTGGTCCAGGTCCGGTCTCAGGTCTGGTCTCCGGTCTGGCCTCAGGTCTTGGTCCAGGTCTGGGCAGGTGTGTCCCTGTCCCAGAGGTCTCAGGTGTTCACACTACTTCATCCACAGTTTGTGACAGAAGCTCCTTTAATCCTTTACTACAACTATTACTGCTACTACTACTACTAGTAGTACTAGTAGTACTAGTAGTACTACTACTAGTACTACTAGTACTACTACTTCCACTGCTGCCCTCTCAGCTGTTTCATTCTCATTAAATCGTGGAAATTAAGGTGTTTTGTTTTTATTTAAAATCTTATTTAAATAGAAACTTTAAAAATTTACTGAAACATTTATGAACAGTTTTTATTTCTACTTAAATCTTTCAAACAAACAAAACTTTTTCTTAAGTGAAAATGTTCTTCTGAAAAAAATGAATCCGAAACAAGGACTGTTGTGGAAAATGATTACTCTGATAATACAACAGAAAACTCTAAAAGTTCTTTATTTTCTTAAATATTTTTTTATAAACATTATTATTAGATGAACCAATAACATTTGTGAGGAGTTTATAGACGCACTTTCATTATAGAACATAATAGAACATATTTCCTATAATGGAACGTGTGTATAGTGTATGTGTGTATAATGTGTGTGTGTGTATAGTGTGTGTGTAGTGTGTGTGTGTGTATAGTGTATGTGTGTATAGTGTGTGTATAGTGTATGTGTGTATAATGTGTGTGTGTGTATAGTGTATGTGTGTATAATGTGTGTGTGTGTATAGTGTATGTGTGTATAATGTGTGTGTGTGTATAGTGTGTGTGTAGTGTGTGTATAGTGTATGTGTGTATAGTGTGTGTGTGTGTATAGTGTATGTGTGTATAATGTGTGTGTGTGTATAGTGTATGTGTGTATAATGTGTGTGTGTGTATAGTGTGTGTGTACTGTGTGTGTGTGTATAAA